GGCTGCGTTGCTGGAATCTTCTGCGCAATTGTCTCCCACCCAGCTGACACCGTTGTGTCTAAACTTAACCAGGTAAAGGTCAAATGTCATTGAATATTATTGACTTCACATGGCTGGCTGCATGGAACAAGTGTTTGTATGGCTTACAAATATTTTTTTGGGATCTAGGTATGTAAATCAGTGTTACTAAATTTTTTTAGGTAAAGCCAGATTTTGTAACCTGTTAAGTAAAAAGTAAAAACGCAAAATTTATTCAATGAAAGGGGATACGATAGAATATACTCAGTACTTTTATAGGTATCTACTATTGGGATGAAAATAACAATAAAATTCAGCAAAGAAAATTACTTATTTAAGTTCCTAAGTCACTGTCACCAGGCAAATTAGGCGAGGGCCAGTGCTGCTACGGCACTGTCGATAGATCCTCAAAAAGCGTGACTGTACCTTTGATTGCGTGATTTCTAATTTCAAGCTAAAAATCAGGACGTGTAGCAATGTTTGTACATACAGCAGATGTGCACACGTAAACCGCCTCGATACAGAAGAAACCTAGTGTTCGTTCATTAGGTACTTAAAAGTTTCAAAAAACTCCGTATTTAAGCGCAGTCTGACGCAGGTCAATATATCAGTGAGGTAAAGTGATTGTCAGCCGGCACTATAGCTCGAAGGACCGACAACCGATGGGGAATAAAGATTCTCGTATGGCAGCTTCGTACCGGTTAGCGATATTTAGGGTGGCCCCCACACCCCACTAGATAAAATGGCGAATATGTCGATGGATGCAGATGGCTTAGGGCTGTGCTTTGTTACGTTTCTTGGGGGAGGCCAGTGCTTAGCAGTGGACTAGTGATGGGGTGTAATGATGATGATTATTAAACTCAGACCAGTAAGCTAAATTAACGTATGTAACGTTGTTATCGAGTTGGCACAAATGTGCGAGTACCTAATGCAAGCCTAAATATCAGGGGTCCCACCGAAATAGATTTTAGATTGATATGAGCAGGAATGAAGGCACAAGGGTGATTTAGCTTAGTTGGAATCGTCGAGGCGGCGCAAGATTCTAGTTTAGAATGCTGGTCATAGCCAAAATTTGAACAAAATCAAAGCCTACTTACCTTCGATTTTATAGTGTAAGCGACTTTTGGCGTGTACGGTTGTATTTTTTTTTAATTTCATAAGGAATTTCTGCAAAACGCCGCTGAACGTTGTGCCTCCAAGTCGTCATAGCGCATACACCTGTGGCATTAATTAAAAGTGTCTCCAGAGCAGTTGATACTCGTAATTACGGAGTCTACTCGTTTTCGACGTCGTCGTACTTTTTTATTTTTTACGTAAACAACATTTAGTGCATAATTTATGCAATTCGTGTACTTTACAAACTTCGTAAACGACTCTATAGCATCTAAAGAAAAAAAAAGGTAGCTGTCGAACGAAATTAACGTCAAAAACTCTTCTAAAAGTACTGTGCGCAACTGTTGTTTTTTTTTTTGCAGTGGTAAATTTTTAAAGAGGATATTTTAATTGTAATTATCAGTTTAAATAAAGATAGAACAACAACTTTATAGTTTTATTGACTTGTGTATGACTCTACTGTATCTGAAATTTGTAACAAACTTAAACTAATGTTATCCTGAATCTCATGTGTCAAAGTCATCCGTATACGGGTTATAATTTTGACACACAACGAAACAGCCAGTTTTTGATATACTTTATAAATTTTAAAGCCGTTAAATAATTTGAGAGTATGAAAACTAAACTTAGAACACAGATGAAGTACACTCTCTTGTATCGTTCTCCTTCTCTCTAACCTCCATGCTCTCTTCTTATATTTAAAAGTTAACTACAAAAATATAGTGATAATCTGTCAAAGTTACCCCGATTGACTGTACAGCAATGGAATGGAATAAACTTTTTAACACTGGTTTCCAAGAGGTAAAATTGTATTTGTATATTATAATTTTAGTCTTTATTTGTATTATTTCAGGACAAGTCTGCAACGGTAGGATCAATTGTAAGCAAACTGGGTTGGGCGGGCGTTTGGAAGGGACTCGGAACAAGAATTGTTATGATTGGTACACTTACTGCGCTTCAGTGGTTTATCTTCGATGGAGTGAAGGTATGAGAAGGGATGAGATGAGAAAAAAACTATATTTTTTAATTACTATATTTAAATCGAGGAAAAGGATTTGTGTCCTGTAATGTATCCAGTTAGATCACTTTTTCTGGCCGATATCAACTGCAGTTATTAGTCACGCCACAGGCTGCTCCTTAGAATCCGGCTCGAAGGATTAAAAAATGGTCGCGGTAATGACCAGAAAATGGTGCGGCGATAGGGTCTCGGGTTCGATCGGGTCGAGCCAAAATGGATGTTTCTGAAATGCGTGGTTCCGTATAACCAGACAAGATGGCTGATGTGGCACGTGGCAGTCTTGGACGATGCACTATCTATAACCCAATCTATTATTTAGCCAGTATCCCGAGATGGGATTCTACTTGAGTTGTTAGGGGAAAGAAAATATAGTAAAGAAAATAAACAGCTCAAGGCAGTCTAAGGAACACTTACCGGGGTGGGGTTCTTTCTACCAGCGGCCTCGAGGGCGAAGCTCCTGGTGTTGTGATGCGTTGGAAGAGGTCGAGCGACGGCAGCGGGCGTCCTTTTATTGCTCGGCCATTTCTACCACTTCCATCTCGGTGGGGCGCGTTTCTTATTGGCCGAAAATCACGTCACATTTTAGACTCCACCCCCCCCCCTTCCGTACGTGTGGAATGGAATGCGTGGATAGGACGGAGAGTGAAACTGGCTAGATAACTCAAATACCATCAAGAGTTCTATCCGGGATAGGTATAGTATAATTATAACAGTGCCAAAACGCATTTACTCGCGAAAATGAAGGTGCACGCATGCAGAGTGGCAGTTTTCTAGACTCAATTGCCCTCTCAAAATGAGAGCAGAGTGAGGTTTTTACATTACTTTTATATCTTTTATTCAGGTAATATTGAGAACACCACGACCACCACCAGCGGAGATGCCAGAATCGATGAAGAAACGATTGGAGGCTGAGAAGTCAGTTAAAGATAATTAAATCTGCGTGCCACATACCTGCAATTTCTAATTTTGCTTAAGTTTAAAATCGAGTCCACATGCGTTTTAAAACATATATTGATTACATATTCTTTGGTTCTTACAATAATTATTTACATACATGTGTGGTGAGTTTATAAAAATCCATGTCATGATACTGGGTCATGTTGACGTAACGCAACGCCGGAAAAGCCTTGCAATTTATTAAATTGATACTTATTATAAGGACACTATTATTCTTACTTTATAAAATAACAATTTATTTTCTCCATCAAGCGTTAATTCTCACGCGCCGAACAGCTACTGAAGTAAAATTACATAATTTGTCATAGATTAACTATTATTATATTTCGGTATGGTACCATAACGCAGTGTTACTTCTGTCAGGCACTGTTGCATTTTTTTTTATAAATACTTCCCTACCTTCTTACCTCTTGTAAAACTGTATCCCCAAAGAAAGCGAAATACCTACGCAATGGTTCATGCGAGGTTGAGTTAATTTATTAATCATTAATTATTGATGTGCAATAAATATTTTTTATGATTGTCTTGTTTTCTTTTATGATCGAACTTTTAATGCATGTTTTCATCACATCTCCCAGAAAGAATAACTATCATTTCAAATAAACATGGACAAACAAGCATCAAAACCAAGTACATTATTGTGACAAGAGTTATCAGTCCAACTGATGATAACTGACCACTGCAGTCTAAGGGCACCCGGTAACCAACATCAAGCAAAGATTACAGATGCACTGTAATACACCTCAGAATAAAATGAAACTATGCAGAAAGTATGCAGCATAATGCTTTTATCGCCTAATGCGATTAAGGTGAGATCAGATCATCGTCTTGTTTTATAGGATAGGATGATAAACAAGCACACAGTCCACCTGATGGTGGTGATAAGTGGTTGCTGTGGCCCATAGACATCTTATATCTATCTTCGATTACGAATCAAAATGCAGATGCGTTGTCACCAATGAGGACTAAGATGGAAAAAAGGGTCTCCAGTTCTCTACACTGATCATACGAAACACAGCAACATTAAGCTACTATTTTACGCTAGTATTTTTGTGAGAGCATGGTCGAGCCAACCCATTCGTGCTACTACTATACTACTAATGTAACTGCAGCATGGCTCTACCATGTATCGAATTTGTTCTTTTTCATTGACTCATGCAAAATTTATCTTTGATAACATGATCCCATAACCTGTCCTCATCGCTGTTCTAGTTTTTGTTCTCAGAATAGTATTACCGATGGGATTTTTAAGCAGTCTGTTTCTTTTTTGATCTTAATACAAAATTATAAGTTTTGTTTAATTTATATTGTTAGAAGTTGACCGCCTCCTTGGTCTAGTGGACATAAACATGACTAAAGATCTTGAGGTCCCGGGTTTGAATCTTGAGGCGGGTCCAAATCACTTAAGATTTTTCAGGATTCTTTTAGGTCAAGAAATTCTCAGCAGCAGCCAGGAGTCAGGAAATTGGTGGTGTTTCACACCCATGCCTTGGAAAGCATGTATGTAATGAGCAAGTTTTTGGTCTTGCACCTGATCTCTCTCCGGTCGTCTTGGTTTACCGTCCCATCGTGTTATGAGAATGATAGAATAAAGAGTACACCTGTGTTTGTGCAAACACTTGGGCACTATAACCCTGTTATGCGCAGATGGCTAGTCTTCGTAGCGCCAGGCCGCCGTGACCGAAATTCGGTCTGGAGGATATTAATATTAAAAGTTCATATGAATGGGTATAAATTAAAAAGCATAAATTTGTATAATATCAGCAGTCACTAAGGGGCCTCTAAGGGGCTAAGGTTCCAATTAAAAAATATATACTATTTCAATACAAGTTTAGCTCATACTGGTCTTATTTACTAAAATAAAAGAAATGAATTCAGTTATTATTTAATGTTCTTATGCCTCTTCTGCCAACACAGTACCCTTTTCAGATACATATAGACCATCCAAGAACTTTCTGATGTCCTTGTTTTTGACCATGGTGGACTGTTGTATTAGTGCTGCTGAGCTGGAGACATCTTCAATTGAGTTGCCTTCAATGATCAGCTCATCCTTCTGCTTGGTCGAATTGACGACTGTAACACCAGGTGCCATTTTTACCCTTCTAATGTACTTCTCGCCAAGGAAGTTACGTATCTCAATCAAAGTGTTGCCTTCAGTGGTTACACAGTTAATGGGGAAGTGAGCATACACAGCACGCATTTTGTACTGGAATCCCCTTGTCACACCTGAAATTAGTAATAAACTTTATGAAATGTAAGTTAGAAGGCTGCCATTTACCTAAGATAAATTGAAATGTAATTAATAAATAAATTGAAAACTTTTTTAATGAACAAATAAGATTTAGTTTCAATATGAGGTTCCTGTGTCCAGAGAAGAAATGAGGAAGTAACTCTGTATGTATCTTCTATCATGTTATTTTTTAAAGACCAATGCAAGGAATAGAAACAAAAGCAATCTAAACAAGTTCTACAATGAAATAATTACACAACAAAAATATATGTGTTTCAAATCTGAGAAGACCAGTCCCCATAATTAAGATGGCAATAGAGAGCAGCACAGGTGAATATACAAAAGAAAATCTTAGTGGTAAGATTTTCTTATACAGAAAAAAAAAAGATTCATGACTAATATTATATGGTATAGAATAGATATAGAAGTAAATACATATGTGCCATTAGACAGAACTAACTATTTTGACAGAAAAGTGTTTGTTGTGATTCACTGACATGATACTATGACATGTTAGGAATTCCTTTAAATTCTGTCCATAAGTAAACACAGATGGTAGAAGAAATAAAAGGATGTAGTGAGTAATTTACCATAGGATAAATAATAACATAATTAACATTTCTTTTGTGTCAATGGATTTAGGTATGTAATCTCTAATCTGTATCTAATATTTCTTCAGATGCCAGCATTTTTGCAATAGCATAAGTCTGCCAAGTTAGGAAGTGATGCAAAAAGCAAAAACATCTTGCATATAGCTTTATTTCAATATATTGATACATATATTAAAAATAGTAATTTCAAGTCCGTAAATAGTTTTTGGATAGTTTGTGCCCAGTAGAGCCACTCTGCAGCCATATTATGGTTGTAGCACAAATGGATCGCACTCGAACAAGGCATGGCCTCTCACAGAATACCCCCATAAAATAGCAACTAATTACTGCTGTTTTGTATGATGAATGCCACTGGCAAGTGTAAAGTACCAGATACCCTTATGGAAATGAAGCATTCCATTTTAGTCCTAGATTAAAACAGATCTGCATTTTGATTCTTAATTGAAGATACGATGTCTATGGGCCAGATTTCACTAACCATCAACGACTGTGTGCTCATTTGTCACCCTTATTTAAAAAAATTATAGTTTTAAGATTATAAGGGCCAAATCTGTATAATGAATAAATCTGAATAATGTAGATAAAATATTTTATAACTACCTATCTAACAAATAAAATTATTGGCTAATTATTAATAAACCCACTAGTAGACTGAGTGCCTTCAAGTCAAAAGAGTGGCTTATTAAAACTAAATACAAGTAAATGCACAGTCCTCTATATAGGAACCGGAAACCCTTGTTTCGTCTATAAAATTGATGATATACCTCTGGAAAAACTTAAAGTAAAAAATATTTAGGTGTGCATATAAGTAACAATCTAAAATGGGAATATCACATTACAGTGATAACTAAAAGAAAATAGTTTTATTTACCTTATTAGAAAAGCTTTTCGGCATCTAACATCACAAATGATGCTAAAATATAATTGACCTATTCAGGGCTATATTCCACCTATTAGAACTCCAGGTTTGGAATAATGCATATGCAATCCAAATCTGAAGTCCCTATTTCATTAAAGATATTGAATTACTGGAGAAGGTTCAATGCAGATTTTCAAAGGTTCCTAGAGCATTGAAAAACATACCATATGTAGAAAGGCTAAAAACGATTAATTTAATGACAGAAGGACTGCAGAGAATGATTAGACTTGATAGAAATATGTAAAATTATAAATGGACACTAATAAATTTTGACATACTATTATTCTAGTACTCAAACTACACACATCACACAATTTGCGTTATATTGGTGTTATAGCACAAGAGGTAACACTATAATGTTTCTAACCAAAGAGTAGCTGAAGCATGAAACAAGATGCCACAGAAGTGATATCAGCACAAACCATGAACCAATTTAACAAAAGATTGTATAAACAACTAAAATAGAATAACTACAGATTTGAAACCAAGATTACAGGCTTATATCAGTTGTTTCAAGTGCTGGTCTGCTAAATAATAATAATAACTAGTCTTTTTTCAACTGTGATTTAACTCATTAATAGCTATCTAATCCATGTATATTGGACTATAGCAAAGCTAACAGCACATATGAGCAGGTCAAACGATATCTATTTTTTGTAAGATAAAAATTTTACTAAAGGTCAAGTATTTGTAAATTCAAGGTCATTTGTAGTGATGCATTTGGTGTTTGGCGAATACTAATCACGAATATTTAAAAAATAATATTTTTGTATGCAACTCTAATTACAGGCAGACTTTGATATCGCGCGTCGTCGGCGCTTAAAAAATACGTTTGCATAGTCCCTTAGCTGCAACGACGGCTACACAAGGGCAGGGGAGGTATTATACATTTTAACACTCAAACAACTGAAAGATTCTCAACAAGCTAACAATATACCGAAAAATGTTTTGTTTCAAGATGTTGAAACTAGATGGGACTCAACAAATCAGATGTTGAAGAGATGACATGAACAATGCATAGCGATTCAATATATTTTACCATCTCTACCAAATTGTAGTCATGAAATCACAGCAAGGCAATGGGCTCTTATGAGCCAAATTATTGATATTCTGGCCATTTTTGAAGAAGTTACTAGAGCTAAGCAAAGAATCAATGACATTAGCTCAGGCAACCCCATTAATATGAAGTCTTAAATCTTGCCTCTGATCCAATGGCCTTTTATTTGGAGTGAAGATTTTCATTTTGTCCAAGACTGAAAAAATTCACCCAAAAATATTTTTTAATGAAACCATGTACAGTCACCTCGAAAAAGCTTTTTTTCAATGGCTGGAAACATCCAGACTGTTAAAAGAAATCGCCTAAAACCAGAAAATCTACAAATTTTGTTTTTAAATAAAAATTTGCCTGTTGTAAATTTTAATTATTAGAACATCATCAAATGAAATAGTTTTTCGGTACCATATAGAGATATTCATATTCATATTCACTGAATAGTAGGTTTGATACTCCTATTCATATTCATAAAAATAGTGTTCGTGCATCACTAGTTATTTGTTTAAATTTAAAGCTTGTTTCTTTTTTTTTGTAATTCAATAACAATTTATCAAATAATATCAAAATAACAGCTTTTTACAACATGCATATGAAATTATATGACACATAATGAAAAAATAATTTTTAATATTTTTGTCTGTTCTGGCTCATCTTCGAAATGGCTGGACCAATTTTGACCGGACTTTTACTGGCAGATAGCTTATGTTATAAGGAGTAAATTAGGCACCTACAAACAATTGAAAACTTACATTTGTGTATGGGAAGTAAATATTGCACAGATCCTAAAACTATGACTGGATATTAAAAAATTTTCGAAATTCAGAAAGTGAAGTGATCGTAGTAAGTAAGGATGGGTCCAACATTGGTTTCATATTCTGTATTCTGAATATTCTTCTGGTTTATTTAGATAATACACTCAATGTTCGAAAAAGTGGTACAAGTTTACTGTTTTCAAGTTTTGTGTGATTGAACATGATTAATTAATGTAGTCTCACATAGTTGTATTGTTAGTTAGTTAGTTGTATTGTTAACCTAATTAAAAGTGTAGCCTTATGCTTTTGTATTTCCAAGAACAAAACATAAAAAGATGTCTATAGAAAAATGTGTGGTTGTTTATAAATAACTTGATTTAATAACTTTGCTTACAGAGAAATGTATATAATAAGTAAGAAAGAGTTACACTTCCATAATAAATTTACATTTCAGCAGATTTGCATGTATTTCCAGATTTTAATTACATATTATATATTTATTTCCAGTTTTAACTTAGTGTAGAGTTAGAAGTTAAAAATTATTTATTAAAACCAGTGATTGTCTTATAAACTACATGTAACAAGTCCAGTCGTCCTGAACAGTTTAACTGACAATTAAAATATTTAGTTCAGTATATTTTGTCAAACATTTAGCCGAATAATTATAAATAGGGATGGGCCGAATATGAATTTCACCGAATACAAATATTCGGCCGAATGTTCGGTAATATTTTTACCGAACCAAATATTCGGCCGAACATTATTTGGCAGGGTCACCTCGGTACCCAACCAATTTATGTCAAAACTTGTTACCAATAAGAGCACGGGATTAGCGCCAGACCCTGCTCCTTGCTCCCCCACCACACCTGACACGTTATTGCTTCATCTAGTACTGTGTAAATTGCCGACACATGCTTATGTTTTGACTTTCTTTGTTTTATTCTTAGTGAAAATTGATATTGCAATTGCAATTGCAAATGATGGTTACATTAATGAACTGGGAATTAAAAGAAAGGGGAATGAAAGTGAACGCACGTAAGACGAAAGTGATGGTTTTTGAAAGAGAAGAAAGCAAAACGGTATGTGAAATAAGAATAGAAGGAGAGTTAATTGAGCAAGTGGATGAGTTTGTGTATTTGGGATGTGTATTTAGCAGGGATGGTAGATATGATAGGGATATAGAACGACAAGTAAATGCAGGGAATAGAGTGAATGGGGCACTACACTCTATTATGAAGAACCAGAATGTGTCAAAAAAGGCACGTATGGTAATTCATAATGCTGTGTTAGTCCCTACTTTAATGTATGGTAGTGAAAGCTGGGTGTGGCAGAAGAAGCACGAAAGTAGAATAAATGCTGTAGAAATGCGGTCTTTAAGGAGTATGCTAGGGTTGAATCTGAATGACAGGGTGAGAAATTGCATAATAAGAGATAAATGTGGTATGGAAGATGATGTTGTGACCAGGATTAAGAAAGGAATGCTTCGGTGGTTTGGTCATGTAGAAAGAATGAATGAGGAAAGAGTGACAAAGCAAATTTATATGGCAGATGTGAACGGCCGAGTCGGGAAGGGATGCCCTAGAAAAAAGTTTATCGACCAAATTGGCGATATTTTGAAAAGGGGCCACGTTAGAAGTACCCTTAACCGACGAGCATGTATGCGTAGATATATGGATGTAAAGGAGGCGAAAGAGGTATGTCAGGATCGTGCCAAATGGAAGTCCGTAGTCTCTGCTACCCCTCTGGGTGACAGGCATGCTTATGTTTTGATGAAAATGTTTATGCTTATGAAAATTGATAATTATATGATAAAAATGAGCAGCAGGAGATTAACTATTTGGGCTTATTTTAGAGAAACTGATGACCAAAGTAAAGTGAAATATACTAATGTAATGTTTCTTTGTTTGATTCAAAAAAAATTTTATCAAGTTTCTATTTGCTATAATCGGAAATAAATCTACAGTTCCTCATAAATGTATAGATAAACATAAATGCATAGACTTATGCATTTGAGGCACTCTAGAGTAAGTACATTTAACCCATAAAATATAATATATAAAATAAAAGTATATAATAAATAAAGTATATAAAATATACTTTCAACAGTAAGACATCGCATTACTCAATGCGTACAGTGAAATATATTGGACACTATGAAAACGAATGTTCGGTAATTTAGCCGAATATGAATATTCAGTAAAGCTGCCGAATATGCCGAATACCGAATATAAAACGAATATTCGGTCCATCTCTAATTATATATGGTAAAAGTGATGTTCAGCTCATCTTTAAATCTCTCAATTTGATCAATCTAATCATAATAAAGTCTATATCTGACCATTTTTATTTTCAAGTAGATTTATCATTTAATAGTTCAGAATGTCTTCTTCAAAAGACAGGTTATCAATTCTATCAAAAATATTAACACAAATTTGCAATAAACATAAAAAACAAGATATACCATACAAAAGTTAAATGTTTTGTTTAATGTCATCTCATATCAACTAAAAGTAACTTTTGGTTATGATTTGTTAAGTTATAAAATGACATTGTTTACATAACTATACTTCATAAAATATGACCACAAAGAGGCGAATTCACCTAAAAGAAGTCTTCCATTATCATATAATGGTTTTTCCATTTAAATAACCACATTTTTTGGTATATTTTAAAAAGTATTGTAATATAATCAGATCAAATGGAGTGATCTTACCTTTAATCATGTTCTCCACGTGAGAGCAAACAGTTCTTACAGCAGCAAGCTCTTTCTTTGATCCGAACCATTTCTCCACTTTCAGTAACCGAGGGTTTACCATGCTAATATCAACAGCCAAGTGTTTGAAATTTCTTTTTAGGGTGCCTCGGGGCCCTTTCACTGTTACCAATCGGGATTTCACATGAACTGTGAGACCCTCTGGGATCTTCACCTTTTGATTTGCAACTATTTGCTTCATTGTAAGGCCTACAATAAAAGAAATATATGAACATAACCTAATCGACACTTTGACAAATGATTGTATGTGTTTTCATTATAAAAGATGTGAAATATTAATCGAAACGTATGAGGCATTATATATTACACTGCTCTTACAAATATTTCATTTAAATAATAACAATTAACAATGATTTATTTAGATTTTTGCACTAAAAACAGAATTACAGCTTACTTTTAGTGACACAGAGAGCCGGAAAAGAACATGGAACTTGCCAGTATGTAAAACTAAAAATACTGTCATATATTTATGTATACTCTGTGATTATTGTCAAAGATTGGGTTCGGGCCTCTTAACGATTGCCAAACTGTTGATCATTAATAAAATCATAAGAGTAAGACGTCCTAACTCTCTAATGCTTAAGTAGTGTAGTATACTACACTACTTAAGCATTAGAGAGTTAGGAAGTCTTACTTTTATGATTTTGCTTATGTAGTAACGCCCGCTAAAAATAGTAAATAGTAAAAATTTTGTACATTTATGCGATACCGCAAACTAAGTATCGGATTCTAAAAACTTTGTGGTGAATCTGTCGTCGTGCCATAAGCGTAACGCTCTCACTTACGATGTTAGTGTAAGTCATCGGAAATAATGTACCTACTTTCACCGACCGAAACGACGCAATACCAATGCACATAATACAATTTAAAGTATTCATTCTGCTTTCATTTGCAATGATTCTTTAAAATAAAAGCTATAAATGAACAGTATTATTTTTATTTATCTAAATAGATGGAAGATAACAAATGTTACAAAGGGAACAAAGGTCGCGGGTTAATCTACTCCTAATTCCCACATTTTGACATTATGAGTAGGGCTAGATTAACACTTATTCTGCTCTCCTGTCCGGCGAACAGATTTGCGAATGGCTCTGGGGGAGAGCGCAGGTCATGCTGATCCCGAGGGCAAGCCTGAGGAAGTCTTCCTTCACGTGGTTGCCGCCTATTATTTGGTGTGGTTTAATAGGAAACAGACAGAACAGAAATACCCAGACGATCCTCTTGTTCCTATCCTAACCCAATCCAAGGTTTTAAACGTATCGTGCCGATGGATGCGTGGCTGAGGGGGTCCAGTCGCAAACGGTGCCTATCCAAGACCAGGACAATTCGGATAGTATTTTAGCCTTTGCAGCTGAACGAATATTTCCCTAGCTAATCGTGGGACTAAAATAGACGACAATCAACATTTTGAAAAACTCAATTCTCTTTCAATGGAACTGTCTGTAGGTCTGGAAGAGGCTCTTTTAGCCTCACCAACACCCTGAAATACAACCCCTCAACCTAGGACGAGCCGTGAATTGAAGGGTACATACGCAGTCGAACCACAATCGGAAACAAACCAAGGATAGGACAAGAGAAAGTTCGCTAGGCCTTGTAAGTTTAGTGGGGCAGCACGGAAGAGGTACAGGAAACTGATAGCAGCTGAGACATGAGCCGAAGAGGCCCTCTCTCTCTTTGCCAGAAGCCCTGGGATGCGATTTCTTTACCCAAATCTCCCCCCGGTTCCAAAGGCGAAACAACGCAGTCAGTCTGAGGAGAAGTTACCAAAGACCAGCCCAGGAAATCCGTGAAGCTCGTAACGGGGGTGAAGAAGCTCATATTCAGTGCCGTAGCTAGCTCCACACTTGTAGGAATTCGCATTTCGAGTCCTATGAACGTGGAGCAGATGCGGCTGGTCCACTGGGCACTAACACGGGCTATCGCTAGCAGCGCAGCTGGGAATGGGACCATCATTTTCGGATTTCATTCATAAGCCAGATTGGATTCTGGTAACGTGTCTGAATAAGGCAAGCCAAGACTGGATTGTGGGTGAAATCGGAAAACTGAAACCCTGGCCGGAGGCAAAGCTTTCAATAATTCCTGAAGGCGAACTAAATAAGCCTCAGCTGGGCATCACATATCCGCCCCGCAACGAAGCAGACTCTCCAGAGGAAGCAGTTATGCTGTTGACGGTACAAAATGAGGGGCTCCATACCGAGCTCTGGAAAATCCTCCATCCAGGACGAGTAGAATGGGTTCCTAGTAACCTTTTCTGTGGGCGACCCATTGGCGGAGGTTCTCCGGGCGGAAGGGGCCAGAGTCGTCCTTGGCTTTAAAATAATACCTGAGGCTCTGACGCGGTAATGTAGGGTGAACCACCCGAACTCCAATCTTCCCAGACTTCTACCTCTCGGGGAGAGACTCTAACGTAATCAGCGACAGTGACTGAGACCCAAGGTACTAATCTCGCCTCGGTCCAAGGGATTCCACTGGTGTCTGCCATGGGTAAGGGGAAGAGAGGTGGGAGCGGTAAAGCGAAAAGTAAGGCAGGGATCAAGAGCGCTAGTAAAGGACGTCTACGTCCTCAACAGGTGGAAAAGATCCCTGCCCCCCACACCTATAAATGGCTAATCCCAAGGGTAAGACGAGGTTAGGAATGCTCCATGCAGCTGCTGCTTCTGCTGTGCTGGAGGTTTGCTTTGCAGAGGACAATATCGCCCTTATAAGAGTTTGGTGGCCAAAGGTCAAGTTATGGGATTGTCGGCTGCCAGTAAGATCCTAGTCAATACTAAAGGTAGTAGACCCAGAGCTTGTATAATTTACAATAAAAATATTGAACTTTTAGCTGTTCCAGAGTACTGCGACAATGACCTGGTTTCTTCATAAATCTCAAGGGATGCACAGAGGCCAGAGTAATGTTTTGCTCAGCCTACCTTCCCGGAGAGAACTCAGATCCTACCGTCGAGTTACAGCGAGTGGCGGAGTTCGATCGAAATCACAACGCCGAACTTTTAGTGGGTTGTGATGCCAATGCTCACCACAAAGCCTGGAGAAGTATTAGAAATTCAATAAGAAGTATTAGACCTTTGATACCAATAACATATCCAGGAAGATAACTGACTGGCATGTTAATAGTGAAAACTCGATCGACCAACTATCATACAAACCTTAATCCGAGCTTTTGACCGTAAATTCACTTCAGAAGCCTTGGGATTAAGTAAAAATAAATTGCGCATTCTGGCAAGAACACTAACTGGACACTTGTCTTAAAAAGCATATGTCCAACCTAGTATGTGCGAGTTCTCTTCCCTAACGGAACAAACGCATCGGCATCCTAACTGATTGCGGACCCTTAATGTGCAAACGTAGCACTCATCTCGGAAACTATGTACTCCGCCCAGAAGAAGTGAAATTGCTCACAACTAAGCAACTCCTTCTAATTATTGTAGCCATAGGGCTTAGCTGTGAACTATAGCCATGGCAGTGATCACAATAGATCTTTTAGGTCGCAGTGATACTGGTCTCTTTTCCTAGACCTGCTTGGCTCGCACTTAAAAAAAATATAAAAAAAGGTAACAAAAGTTATAATTATGTGTACGTTTTATAATGTAACCTTTCATGACATTCACTAGAAATGATAAAATGAAGTAAAGCTTCTTCATCGATGTAGTGGAGAAATTTAATACGGTATTAAAAATAAAAACCGTCACGTTTTCTGCACGAGTATACTTCCTATATAATATGTAAAAGAAAAAATAAAAGAATAGACTAGAATATTATGATTTTTATTCAATATAGAAGAAGATTATTACATAATAGTTACTGAAAATATTTTTTTATTTACCACCATTTCGGAAAATACCGAGAAGAACCAGCAAGAAACCCGGCAGTTTTGAAATTAATTTTGATAGTACCCGCATGGTGGTAATCACCTCATTCCCAAGGGTTATTATCATTCACGTATTCTTTGATAGTACACTTTTTGACAAATGTACGTTTTCTGAGAATTGTTTTAAAAGCATATACATGTCCTTTAAATGAATTACGAATTCTGTGGAGTCAAGTAACTGGTATTAGAATCTTATATTTGTTCCTAGTATTCAAAGTATGAACGTCTTTATGCCTATCAAAGCTATTTGTGTTTTTATGCACATTCATTACTTTTTCATAAATATATTGTGATAAAAGTAACTAAAATAAACTAATCTAGATGTCTCAACATTGGTAAGACTTCTAATATTTCTTACATCATATGCTGCAGAACTAATGTCTAAATACTGAAACGCTTATCAATTTTAAGATGTCGTTAAGTTTCGTGCTGTCTCTATCACTTTAAGTCAAACAGATTGTGATATCACGAGACTTAAAGACATCATTAAATTATGTAGCATTTGAGTATTTAAGCATAATATGTCCGCTTTCTAATTTAGATTGGCATCATTGAAGCTTCGCGTCAATAGTAATGCCAAGAAAATGCTGTTTTTTTTATAGAATAGTGTGATAAACGAGCACACAGTCCACCTGATGGTAAGTGGTTGCTGCGGCCCATAGATATCTACATGTATACGATTACAAAACCAAATGCGGATGCGTTGTCACCCGTGAGGACTAAGATGGAACGCCTCGTTTCCAGTAAAAAGGGTCTCCGGTTCCCTACACTCACCATACGAAATACAGAAGCATTAAGCTACTATTTCACGCTGGTCTTCTATGAGAGCGTGGTCCTTCCCCGGTTGAGCCGACCCATTCGTGCTACAACTATACAATTAATATAGCTGCAGCATGGCTCTACCACGTATAAAAGACTTGTGGTACCCACAAGACTCAACTCCTCTCTATATAAGAGTTCATTGGTATTCGAATGTTTAACATTAGGTATTATAAATTTATTAATTTTTTCTTAATACAGTTTTAGAGCAAATCGTTGGCGTTAAACCAATGTACTAATTTCGATAGAGCATTACTTAAATCATCATAATTAACCGACTTTAGACAATCGTTTAACTTTTTAAATTAAAGAGGTATCATCAGCGTGTAATACTATGTCGTGACTGTCCCTTACAA